GAACCATGAAAACATTAGACTTAGAGAAAGAAGCCAGACACAAAAGGCCACATATCATATGATTCCATTTACATGAAACATCCAGAACAGGCAAATCCACAGAGACAGAGAGTGGATTAGTGGTTACGAGGGGCTCAGGAAGGGGAGGACAGGGAGTGATGGCTTAATGGGTATGGAGTTTCCTCTTGGGGTAATGAAAATAACTAGAACTAGACAGAAGTGATGGTTACCCCACACTGTGAATGTGCACTTTAAAACGGTTAATATTATTTAATGTTAGAGGCATCCTTTCTCAATAAAACAATGAATAACTAGAAAAATGAAAGATAAAACAATATGAGCCCCAATTTTTCACTAGGCTCAAGGGACATAAAATTCCCCTGTCAAATAACTGTGAAGTTTCCGTTTCTTCTCCACTTCTTTCTTTATCTCTGCTCTTAGACCAGTAACAAAGCATCCACAGACTCCCCCTAGCCTGTACCCTTCACTGCCCTGGGTCCCTGGGTCTTGCTCACTCAGGGACACTACCGTAACAATTGTACCCCATACATACCCTGTACCAGCAAATTTTACCCTATTGAATCACTCCCATCAACACACAGACATAGCATAACTCCTCCCTTCTATACCAAAGAGAAAAGACTTCTCCTTGATCTCCACTCCCCTCTAAGGAAGGCCTCATTTCACTACCTCCCTTGTGACAAAACTCCCTGAAGAGCTGGCTGTACTCACTGTCTGATTCTTCTCTCCCAAGCACTACTGGATACACAGTCAGGCTTTGGTTCCCACTTTCCCGCCAGGAGGGCCACTCAGCAAGGTCTTCCATCATTTCTATCTGGCAACAGCCAATGGTCAATTCCAGGGCCCATCTCATTTGCCTTGTCAGCACTGTTTCGCTCTGTTCATTGAGATACTCTCTTTACTTAGCTTTCAAGACAGTATTCACCCGCAGTAATTCTCCCACTCAACTGGCTGTTCCTCATTGCTCTCTCATTGCTGGGCCTCCCCATCTATCAGAACTCTGACCACTGAGTGCCCCAGGGCTCAGGCCTTAGTCCCTTATTCTTCAAAAACATTCATCTACATTCATTTCTCTAAGAGAGCTCATCATTCTGAGAACAGTAATATCTGTTCTTTGAACTCTCAAATTTTCATTTCTAGCAAGGATATTTCTCCTCAACTTCAGATTTCCTTCATCCAACTCCTACTCGACATTCTACTTGAATGACTCATGAACATCACAGATCTAACATGTTCAAAATTAATGTAGCTCAGAGAGCACTTGTCTAACACGTGTAAGGCTCAGAGTTTGATTCCCAGCACCATACACAGACAAAATTAATCTCCTATTTCCCAGCAACCCATTTTCTCCTACTTTTCTTTACATCAATACATCCCCCCCCCCAATCTTTTACTTAGTCAGGTCAAAAATTATGGCATCATCCTTCTCTCCTTTCTTTCTGCTGCATATCAAACCAAATCTTGTTGGTTCTATCTTCAAAATATATCCAGAATTTTACACTTGCCATCACTACCATGTCCCCATGCTAAACTGCTCTCATTAAAGCTCAGCTATCGTAAGACTGCTTTCCCTGTTTCTATGTCTGCATCTCTACAAAAATAGAGATTCCATTCTTTAACAGTCCTACATAAGAAAACCTAAAAGAAGAGCACGTTATCTTTTGCTAAAAACCCTACAATAGCTTCCCATCTCTCTTGAAATAAAAGCCAAAGTGTTTGCAATGGCTTACGATGACATGAAGCAGTGACCCAGTCCCGCCATCTCTCTCATCTACTCCCTGACCCTTTTCAGGGTATGGACAGCAAATGGCTTTTTTTTTTTTTTCAAAGAAAACATTAAATAGAAGCAACATGATGAAAGGAAAATGTCTGTGGTTCTTTTCTCCAACATTCTTTTTTCATCTTGCCATCTTCAGCAAAACCAGAGGAAAACACTGATTTCTTCAGATGCTAAAAAGAGGCTGAGTTTAAATTTTAAGAAACGAAAAAAAACAAACACGGATTTAATGAATGAATTTCAAGTAAGACTTAAAAGAAAACAGTAAGTTCAACTATAACACTATTCCTCAAATCATTTACAAGTCCCCCCTTAGAATAACTGATGTATTATTTAGAAATCCTAACTGATCTATCAAAGCGACCAACCAAAGGAACTCACCCTCGATAGGACAGCACTTGGTAAACAGAACTGGAGATCAGCCAGCCTTTGTCGGTTTCTCACAAATAATAAAATGATGTCTTCACTACATTCTGCGCCCCCCCACCTCAGCCCCAATTACAAGGGCCTAACTTGCCCCAAAGTGCTCCCCACTGTGCCAGTGCTGAAGTGATAACTAAGGATCACATGTCCCAAAAGATGACCTTGGGTGTCCTTGCTCTCACACACAATCTTCCTTCTTCCCACTTGCTTTATAATGATTTCATGCACTGCCCCTCAAGACAGCACACACTGGGAAGTCTTAAAGCCACCTCTCTCACGAATTAGGTGGGATCAGGATTTTCTACTGATTCATATTCCTCTTCTCCATGATAATTCCAAAGTAAGTATTACTCCAGTTTACCATCATTCTTCCTGGCTAACTCTCTCATTCCCGCAGCTTGAGCTACTAATTAATTGTGAGTGACTTAAGAGAGTCCAGGAAGTTAAGCCTCAGGCCTCCTCACACCCGTGTATCTTCAATAAGGACATCTGTAAAAAACACTGTAAGAAATTCTAGTCTCTCTCTCAACTTATGAATACACTCATGACCCTGGCCTTGCTGTCTTTCCTTTTGAGTTAATTCCTTCTCTGCCATAAATTCAAGTCCACATTGCTCCTCTCCAAATTCATTCCTCTCTGCTCTAATAAACTGCCTCTTATATTTCTGTCTTATTGTTCTGCTCTGAATGTACACCTTTGTCTCAAGAATGCCAGTGTTTCTAAAAGTATTCCAATTATTCCTTGAGTAAGAAGCTCCGGCAATCTCTTCCTGCAAGTGAGTTTCATTCCTAATTTTCTGTATGAACAAATGTCTCTTTAACCATTTCATCCCCAAATTGTGCACCGATTCTGAGGCAAGCAAGAATCAGGGAAAGTCCAGAACTCTTAGAAAATATATGACTTAATATGGTATTCCAGACTGAACATTCTTCTCTTTCTCTGAGCCTTCTCTTCAATTGCAAATGTGTGTAGGTTATCCCCACCCTAGCAGAAGGACAACTAAAACCACCTTCACTGGGCCCAGGAACCACTCATGCCCCTCCCCACTTATCAATTACTAGCTGGGAATCACCAGGCTCTTCCCTTCCCATAGGTTAGCACAAGTTTTAAAAGCACCTGGAGAAGAGGAGCATGCTCTTTCTGCTTCCAGTTTCCACCTGGGCCCACCAAACTCCTTTCTGCAATTCCCTTCCCTAACTTTTAATAAACTTCATTACATCCATCTATCCTGCAATGGATTCTTCCACATAGGACACAAAGAACTTGGAAATCTGATTAGAGACTACACCACTGCCATTAACAGCTCCATTAGATAACAGTGAGTTAGGACACTGACCTTTCATGCTTGTGAAAGTTTCCTTACAGGGCAAACTCACTTAAAAATGTACCATACCATATTCATTCATTCATTCATTCATTCACTCACTCACTCACTCAACCAGCAAAGAGCAAACAGAAGTCATCTGTTGTGTCCTCTGTCCTTAAAGGAGCTTAAAATTCAGATTATACATCCACTCAAAGGCCCCACATATAGTATGGATATTTACGAACTAGAAGAGCCTGTCCGCTCCGGACAGAACAATGTGTACTTCAGTCTCTTCAGCTCAAACTGGTTAGTTCCCTCCCATGACCAATGAATCCCATATTAATGGAAGCGTAACCTTCCCGGCTTTTAAAAATTTGATTGTTCTCAATGTGGAAATCAAGGCATGGTTCTGATTCTCTAAACATTCACTTTGCAAAGAAATTCTCTACAGTCAACTTCTTTAGAAAACCAACTTGTTTAGAACAGGGTAAGCTTTAGGTCAGAGTCTTTTCCAAATCACTCACGATGGCCCTGCTTCCTCCTGCTGCCTTGACTGTGTTGCTTCTCATTTTCCTGAATCAAAAGATGCTTGCATATAAAGAATGTAAATACGGGATCTGGAAACACAGTGGCCATAAAAGACCTGCCAATCACCACAGTGTAAATGTTGGGGAGAAGGTTAAAACTGAAGTTGAGGAATTGTGTATTTCAAAGTGCTTTGGTTCATTAAACAGTCATTTTTCACCTCAAAGCCATTATATCACGGTTATTTGCATTGCTACTGCATAAGCTCTGAGATCTACTGTATTAAAAATGTTTTATTATGTTATTTTATTTCTCCTCCCCAAAGATGAATACACCTTCAATTTTAAAATGAAAATCTTTTGGAAACAAATATTTAGTATATAGAAATTCTCTTCACAAAAAAATAACCCAGACAAGCCATTGGGTTAAAGTGCCTCTGGTAGATGGGAGGTAATGCCAGAGAATTTGCCCAGCATATGCAAAGCTTAGGGTTTGACTCCCAGGAGGGCAAAAAAAAAGTGTTCCTGTCTTTTTCACTGATTCTCCAGAAAATAAATTTAATACATTTTTAGCTTCTGAATGAGAGCATTGTTGTCACTGTAGGTATCCAGAAAGGAAATGATATCTATTAAGAATCAAGCAAAGAGCCATGTGTGGTGGATTACATCTGTAATCCCAGCACTTGGAAGGCTCGAGCAGGAGAGCTGTGGATCAGGAGTTCGAGGCAAGCCTGGGACTACACTTTGAGACCCTATCTCCAAAAAAAAAAAAAAAATCAAGTAAAGCAAAACCACCCTATAGTTAAATATTTTAAAGAATATAGATCTAAGTGTCACACACAGTAAGTTTTCCAACAGCTCCTAAGGGATAAGCTGTCAGTGCAGGCTAGTGACCCAGTGCTGGTTACCATCATCCCCGTTCCAAAGCCTGTCCCGACCAGCCACCTACCACTCGCTTTGGCTTCCGAGTAGGAAGGACCATCCTCAAAAGTGAAGATCTGGGACACGCTCTGGCCCAGGTAGGAGGGAGGCCCGTAGTAGGAATGCATCCTGTACTGGGAGCTCACTGCATGACGGTTCTCCGAGTTTTTCATCTGCTTGAGAAAAAAAGAAAGGACACTGTTAGCGTTTGAATGTGAAATGTCCCCCACAGGCTCATGAGTTGCAGGCTTTGTCCTTGGCTGGTGGCACTGCTGGGGGGAGGTGATAGAAACTTCAGGAGGTGGGGTGTAGCTGAAGGAAGTAGGTCACTGGGTGGGTCTTTGGGCATATCTTGTCCCTGGCCCTTTCTGGTCTGTGTCTCTCCTTCCTGTCCCTCATAAGGTGAGCTGCTTTGCTCCACCACACATGCTCTGAGGTGCTACCTCACCAGCTTCCATGATATTCAGCTTCTTCACGGCCCAGAAACAAGAGACCCAGCCAACTTGGTACTGAAACCTCCAAAACCATAAGCAGAAATAAATCTTTTCTCCTTCTACATTTTTTCCTCTCAGGTATCTGTCCCAGCGACAAAAGCTCTGACTAACACAGAATGAGACAAAGGTTGTATTTTACAATTACTACAAGAAAAGCTAGAACTGTGGATGCCCAAGGTGCCTATTCTAGCTTGAAGTGCCGGCAACAGCATCCCTGACAACCCCTCTGGTTGGGAACGATGCTCAGCAAGCAAGTGCTAAGGAGAGCTGGGCAGAGAGGGAGAGGGGTGCTTAGGGGACAACAGGCTGCTAGAAGGCTGCCTTGCCTGTTTGGGTTGCCCCCCAAAATACACTGTAAATGTCAATATGCAAACCATGTGTATGAATAAGCTACTGTCATTAATGGGATGCTTAACTGGCTCCTGTCACTTGGTGTCCCATCCCCACCTCTTATGCTTTTCCTGCAGCAAGGCAGGGAAGTCTGGGGTCTAGCTTCTGAAGGTGACCTGGATTCTGCTGGAGGGCATGTGAACTGGGATAGGACAGCAGTGGGGAGGGATGTGCATGTCATCCTTCCAGCAGCAGTGGCAGCTGACACATGGGCCTGGCAGTTATGAGACACAGGTAGCTTTTATGCAAAGAGCAGTGTTACGTTGCTTTCTGACCTCTCACTCAAAGCTCAGAACATGTGCTCCCCCTCCCCCGGCTCAGAAGGGGTCCCACCCTCATGTTTCCCAGCCCTTCTGATGATGGTGGAAGGGCTGCTTCTAGAGATGTCTATGATTGTTGATTTCTGCCTGGACCCTGGCACAGACATTAAGCGTTTCGCTTGTGATCACATCTCATGGCAAGAGCAGAGCTGAACTTTAGATATTGACAAAGCCTTTAAAAAATTAAACTGGTATGCTAGGGTTCCCCACCCCCGCCCCAAACCCAAGGCCTCACGCATGGTAGGCAAGCTTTCTATGGCTAAGCCACACCCCCAGATTTTTGGAGAGTATTGTTTGTTAAAAATAGTTTTATTGTATTTTTAATTAGTAGACATTAATAACATGAGGATATGCAGTTTTAAGTATAAGCTATTCTAAGGGAATGTAAGCCATTTATGAGTCTGGGGCTGAAACTCAGAGGTACAATACTTGCCTAGCATGTACAAGACTGTGTTCAATCCCCAGCACTGCAAAAAAAAAAAAAAATTAATGAAAACATGGCTGCATTTCCTCCTGTAATAGTTGATTTGGAAATCCCATGTTTAAAAAGGAAAAAAAAGTAAAGCCAATTATAATCAGAGTTAAGGCATAATTTCAAAATCATGTTTTTCAACCAAATGTTTAGAATGCTGTGTGACAAAGAAAATGGTGCTAACTTGACAGCACTTGGCAGGGAAAGTGAAGTACCTCCTCAATGTTTTCTATGAACGTAGAAAACCCACACAATTTGAATATTATGGCATCACTTGGTGGAAAGGCCTAAATCGCTGATTTCCATGATACTGTGAGCCTCTCAAAGAACTGTACCCTGGTGACTCACTCCTATAATCCTAGCTACTCAAGAGATCAGGAAGCAACCAGAGAATAAAATCAAGCCAGACGGGGCAAAGAGTTCTCCAAACCCTATCTCAAAAATACATGGCAGAGTGGCTCAAGATGAAGGCCTTGAGTTCAAGCCCCAGTACCGCCAAAGGAAAAAGGAAAAAAAAATTGGTTTTAGATCCTCCCCACTTCAGATGTCTGCTCTGAGAGGTGGATTGTTGTCTGTTGGAAAAGCAAAGCTGACTCCATTACAGGCGATTATTTCAAGTGAGGTTTACCTGGACAAGTTCTCTTTTTCCTTTCAAGCTTGTTTTTCAAAATATATACAATGGTATGTGTTCCAGGTCAATCATCCTGATTTTGTTTTCAACCATGACATAAATCTGTACTAAGTAAGAGGTCAAGCTAGCTGTTCTTAGAAAATTGCCCAAGGGAAAGAACTGGTTGCTACCCTCCAGAGAGAGCCTGAGGTCAGGAGGGCCCATTAGGGAGCCGTGAAATCATTTAAGTAGTAGTAACTACAACAGCAGTACGGTTACCAATTAGACCAGTGCTTCCCCTGCTCCCTTTACAGACACACAAATAGCCCCAGGATCTGTTCAATGGAGAGTCCTTTATGGTAAGGCTGGGGGAGGGGGTGCTGAGAATCTGGCAGGATCCCCAGAGATGCTGAATCTGCTGGTTCCCAAACCTTGCTCTGGGGATGAGCTGAAATAAGCAATCTTTTCTCTCACACTTAGGAGCTCATGACCAATCTTCTAGAAGATTCTTCAGCAACTGTTCACAACCATCAAGTTTCCAAAAGGGTGGAAGTTATGCAAATAGCAAATGTTTTATTTTCATTATTTTCTTCTTTATCCGTACAATTCCCCACAGCTCACAGATTCTTTTTCCCAGGCCTGCTGACTTCTGGAAGTGCTGCCATGGTAACAGCAAACTCCTAGCACCCTTCTAAGTGAGGAATGGGTTGGGCCTCCATCCTGGAGTCTAACACAGTCTTGAGTAAGGAGCACTGGATTAGCAGCAAGGGGCCAACTTTCAGAGTCAGAATGCCTAACATGACTAATGGGGCCTCCCCGCTCTGGGTGCTGACCCAGTCACATCTCCCTCAGGTGGGACAGTATCTGCAAGTCAGTTCTTCACAGAAAATTCTTTTATTTTTCCCTGTGTGCAAGGAAACTGACAGGACTAGAGTGTGCAGGCTCTGCAAAATCCAGATTTTTCTTTCATTATGAAAATTTATACAAACATCTTTTTTGAAATATTTGACAATAAACGTTCACTATGACTCCTCAGCAGGACTAAGCAAGCTTTTTGCTATAAGTGACTATTTCAGGGATCTCTAGGCTACTGGAAAAGGAATGTGCATGGCTGTGTCCTAAAAAACTTTATTTATAAATATGTGCACTGGTTCTCAATCTTGACTCTCACTGGAGTAAGGGAAGTAGGAGACTCAGCTTTGAGGCCTGGCTCCACCCCTAGAAAATCTGATTTAACTAGTCTGGGATGTGGCCTAGACCATGAGTAATTCTTACATGTCACTGTGCTTATCTAAAATTACCAACCCATCTCTACGCACCTGAGAAATGAGATCCCAACATTCCCCAGATCAATGAAAAAATGCAAAAGTCAAGTCTGACAAGTAGACTGGTCAATTGTTACCAACCCCAATATGTATTAGAGCACCTGAAAATTTTTCAGATAAATGGCAAGTTTTCTTAAGTAAAGCCTACTGGAAAATAAACACAATCTCACAAGCATTCCTATGCTTATTGCTCCCCTTCAATTCATTATTTGGAACTAGGAATTGAGTTACTTGTACTCATTTGGTTTCTCCTATGAGTTCCCAGGATCACTGCGCTACAAAAGACTTCCAGCAAAAGAAGAAAAAATACGAAAGGTCAGACTCCATTTGCGATAATGAAAATGTGAACTTGTCCATTAATCAGCTACATCCAACTCAAAGAAGACTCCACAAATAGCCACGCTATTTGAGCAGACGAAGAGGAGGTCCTCCGTGTTTCTAAAAGCACGAAGCTAAAATGGAATTGCGGTTCACCCAGGAAGCCCCCAAGAAGGTTGGTAGGATGAGATTTACTACTCTAAATCAACTCCTGATCCCTTCTAACTTAAAAAAAATCGTAATGCTGGTACTTTAAGCTTAGACAAAATGGACAAATAGTGAATGCTTTTAAACTCCTTATTGTAAACTAGCAGCTCTCAATTGTGGGCAGTTTGATCCCTTGAGATGCTTTCTACTGTCACAAGTAGGAGAAGGACTGCTATTGGCACCTAGTCGTAAAGGCCAGGGAAGTTTGCCATCCTCCTGTGATGCACGGGACAGTCCCCTCATACAGCCAGGTTCGAGGCCAACATGTCAGCAGTGCCAAGGTCGAAAAACCCTGCCTTAAACTAGCCTACTGCCCTTGGCTCAACCCCTCACCTCCAGCTAAAAGGAAACAGCCATATTTACTGAGGGACAGAAGTTATACAAACAAATTAGAGGAACCAGTCAGTTCTGCTAAAGGAACATATTTTTTCCCTTTATACAACGCTATTGTTTCTTCTCAAGATTTTTTTAGTCCTTTATATCAAACAAATAAGCAAACCAAGGAAGAACTTAAACCCTAGGATTCTACTGAATTATGACTGTCATTATTAATAGCATGTGGTATCTGACTACCAAGAGGCACACTCTATAATCTTATTACCTGTCCTAGTCTCTGAAGGAGAGTACGACCCACAGATGAGCTGGATGGGCCGAGAACGTGCTGCTGTCGGTGTTAACCCCAGAGGAAACCTAAGAGCTCAGGGGGTTGTTTTATTTGTTGAGAAACTGCATCACAATAAATCTGAATCATGTATTTCCTTTCATATATCTTAACCACTCTATTTTATAATTACAATAATATACCAGCAAAACGTAACAATGTTCGACCTCATTTCCTTATAAAAAAAATTCCTGAATCCTATTCTCTGGTTGTCTGTTAATGTTTCAGATAGGAAGAGTGTCTGATCTTACACTGAACTGAACTGAACTTTCCTTCCAGGTGAGGGGCTAAAAGGCAGTGAATATTCTAGTTGTTCATTCAGTGCACCTCAGCTATGTAAGATCAGAGTTGAGGGAGAAAGGGAACAGCTGTCGTG